CAGTGTTTATAAGCGATGTATGTTTAATAATAATCACTCTTGGGCACAAATGTTTTATTTTAGGTTAATATAGACATTTTCATTAATCCATATATGTTATTTTCTTCAAAATTATGTAAGAAACAGGTTACATAGCATATAGCATATAAACATGCACTGTTTATGTGCTATCGAGTGAAGAGTCGGGTGGAGAGTAAACATTACGTTTTCTCTGATTAGGCATTAGAGAAAACTGTGAATCTGGCGTCTTGCCCAGTAACCGCCCATCATGTGCGTTTACAATTATCTGCATGAATTATTCATTACTTCTCCCTTTGTTTATGATGGCATCTAAAGGTAGTTGTTAGAAACGATTAAACTCAGTGAACATGGTAATAATATGGCTGTGTAGTGTAATAATATGGCTGTGTAATGTAGCCCGGTGGGGAGGGGCTACATATGTGTACTGTACCTACATCTACCGCTGCCTGCACTGACTTCCTACAAATAAATACTACTTGCCTCTCGCCCTACATTAAGACTACAAATATTTTGAAGTAATGAATGTACTCATTGTTTTCTGTATGTAAAACTATAATTAATCTTTAAAAAATGTATTTTTTGCTAATACTATTTTTGGATGTCAGAAGCAGATTAATTGGATTTACATCAATTCTTATGGGAAATATTTCGGTTTTCGGTTCACCTGGAACGGATTATGGCCGATAACTGAGGGTCCCCCATAATAATAATAATTATTATAATAATAATAATAATGAGGAGCTTCAGAACGCCGCCAACTCAGCGTACTGTGTACTTCACCGTGGAAGCATTTCTCTCGTGTTTTGCTTGCATTTTGTGCAGTTATTTTGTGGTGGTTCAATATATTTATAGATGAGGTTGTAAGAGAAGTGAATGCTAGGGTCTTGGCAAAAGGTGTGGAGTTAAAAGATAAAGAATCAAACACAAAGTGGGAGTTTTCACAGTTGCTCTTTGCTGATGACTCTGTGCTTTTGGGAGATTCTGAAGAGAAGTTGCAGAGGTTGGTGGATGAATTTGGTAGGGTATGTAAAAGAAGAAAATTAAAAGTGAATATAGGAAAGACTAAGGTTATGAGGATAAAAAGATTAAGTGACAAGAGATTGGATATCAGATTGGAGGGAGAGAATATGGAGGAGGTGAATGTATTCAGATATTTAGGAGTGGACATGTCAGCAGATGGGTCTAGAACTGATGAGAGGAAAAGGGTGAGTGGTGCACTTAGGAGTCTGTGGAGACAAAGTACTTTGTCCGTGGAAGCAAAGAGGGGAATGTATGTGTATAGTTGTACCAACACTCTTGTATGGGTGTGAAGCATGGGTGATGAATGTTGCAATGAGGAGAAGGTTGGAGGCAGTGGAGATGTCATGTCTGAGGGCAACGTGTAGTGTGAATATAATGTAGAGAATTCGTAGTTTGGAAATTAGGAGAAGGTGTGGGATTACCAAAACTATTATCCAGAGGGCTGAGGTGGGGTTGTTGAGGTGGTTCGGACATGTAGAGAGTATGGAACCAAACAGAATGACTTTGAGAGTGTATAAACTGATAGGTATGAGGGAAAGGAGTAGTGACAAGGATTGGGATAAAGACTTGCAGTGTTTTTGTATTTTTTATAGTTTATTTGCGATTCTTGTCCGTTGATAGAATGAAGACAAAGAAATAAATGCTTTAGCACTGAATGGCTAATGAGCTCAGAGAAATTAAATTTTGCGATTCTGATAACAACGACCTCACAGTTATACACGCAGCTGGTGGTCTATAACATTCACAAATATGGGTGAATTTATACAATTATACAGATGCATACATAAATTTCTATTTTTGTGTGATAAAAATTCATTATTGAAAAAAAAATGAATTTATGTAAACTAATAACTAATGACAAGGATGTTATTAGCAGGAGCTACTTCATTCGACCCTATTTGAATTGGAAATTGGAGAGTGATGTTTAAATTGGCATAATTAACAATTCTGATACTTTATTGCAGTTGAAAAGTAGGTTGACTTGGAGTCTGTGGCTCTTGTCCGATAGAATAGGGGAAGTAATATAGTGACAATTGCTAGGGTAAAATTGGTTGATTGGAATAAGAATTGGACAAAATGGGATGTCAAGTCGGGCACAGAAAATGTCAGATTCGTAAATAAGGTGGATTACCAAAAATTCGCGAGGCATAGATTTCGTCATATTTCCACAAATTGACTTTTGTTTTATTATCTGTCACAAAAGGTTATCGTCTAAACGTTTCAGGAGGGAATAAATAACATTTTTTTTTTTAAAAGTCTTGGACTCGCAGTGCGTGAGCTAATTGTGGGCTTGGAGAAAGTGGTTTTTAATACTTGATGTGCTGTTGGAGTGTGAGCAAAGTAACATTTATGAAGGGATTCAGGGAAACTGGCAGGCCGGACTTGAGTCCTGGAGATGGGAAGTACAGTATCTACACTCTGAAGGAGGGGTGTTAATGTTGTAGTTTTATAACTGTAGTGTAAAGCACCCCTCTGGCAAGACAGTGATGGAGTGAATGATTAAAGTTTTTCTTTTTCGGGCCACCCTGCCTTGGTGGGAATCAGCCGATGTGTTAATACAATAAAAATAATTTTGCCAAATTTCTTTTTTCTAACCATGGGTCCTAAGAAAGTAAGTGCAAAGGACAGTGCTGAGAAGAAAAAGAGGGTGATGTCCGTGGAATTAAAGCATGAAATCATAGATAAAGAAGCAAGGTGTGCAGGTTTGGGTTGAGGGGGAAGTGGGGGAAGCTCGCTCGTAACTCGGAGCAAAAAATCGACCAAGCGATGGCTCGTATCTCGAAAAACTCGTATGTTGGGACACTCCTAAGTCAAGGTTCCACTGTAATGTTCTGATCTAGCTAATACTGACATTCCTAGAAACAAATGTCCAAAAAGATAGGAAATTTGGGAATGGGGTAACCTATTGAGCATATTTTGAATGAAGTCCTTTGGTTAGTTTTCAATTTAGGGGTGGTGTGCCACCCTCCTGTCCCCCTTGACAAAAAGCATATTGAAAAAAAATTGAATAATTGAAATTAGGAGGTGGTGTGGGGTTAAAAGTATTATCCAGAGGGTTGAGGAGGGGTTGTTGAGGTGGTTCATACATATAGAAAGGATGGAATGAAATAGAATTGACTTGGGGAGCATATAAATCTGTAGTGGAAGGAAGGCAGAGTAGGGATTGGCCTAGGAAAGTTTGGAGGGAATGTGTAAAAGGTTTTGTGTGCAAGGGGCTTGAACTTCCAGCAAGCGTGCGTGAGCGTGTTAGATAGAAGTGAGTGGAGACAAGTGATTTTTATGATTTGATGTGCTGTTGCAGTGTGAGCAAAGTAACATTTGTGAAGGGATTCATGGAAACCGGCAAGCTGGGCTTGAGTCCTGGAAGTGGTATGTATGGTGCCTGCACTCTGAAAGAGGGATGTTGATATGTTGCAGTTTTTTTTTTAAATGTAGTGTAGGCAAATCTGGCAAGATAATGGAGTAAACGATGGTGAAAGTATTTCTTTTTTGGGTCACTCTGCCTTTTGGTGGGAAACAACCGATGTGTTAATAAAAAAAAAATGAAGTTGTTTATGAGATGCTCATCTTTTAAAAACCACAGTACAGTGTTCTGTATAAATAAAGCTCATGAATTTGGGGGTTCGACTGTACAAGAGATGCTTTTATAAAATATCCATCCCTGTTTTGCATTATCTCTCATATTTTGCTCTTTTAGGTAGTGTTACACTATCTGAACAGTTGAATTGTGGTTTATGTTAGTGATCATGAAAAAATGTAAAATATGTTTTTTAGATACTTTGTCTTCTCTCCATTTTTGTCTCCATTTTTGGGTTTTATTTCATATCTTCTTGTCCTGTCCTACCTTGGTTTTGAAATGTTTGTATTACACTTTGACACATTTGAAACCCCACTTTTCTTAATGCCCACCTGTGGTTACTCTTGCAAATTCTTTGTGCCCTCCTCCACCACCCCTAGAAAGGTCGATTAATTGCATTTCATTTAGAACTATTATTTTTAAACCTAAGGCATGCTATATATCTGACCTGCTTGGTTATATGAAGATTGAATATAACAGGTGTCACATTCTAGATGAAGGCTATTTCCTTTGAGGAAGGGAAGCTTCCGGTGGGGGCATATGTTTTCATATACAGTGGAACCTCGGTTTTCGTCATTAATTCGTTCCAGAAAGTCTGACGAAAACTGAGTTCGACAAAAACTGAAGCAATATTTCCCATAAGAAATAATGTAAATCCAGTTAGTCCGTTCCAGACACCCAAAAGTATTAACAAAAAAATACATTTTGTAGATAATAACTATAGTTTTACATATAGAAAACAATGAGAAATAAATATAAAGGACTTGAAATGGTTAAATGAACATTTAACATCACTTTTACCTTTATTGAAGGCTCTTGTTGGCGCATGGAAGATGGCAAGGATGGGAGAGGGAGGAGAAGTTATCTCTACCACCATCACAACCACCCTCTACCACCATCACAACCACCCTCTACCACCATCACTTCCACCCTCTACCACCATCATAACCATTACCACCATCACTACCACTGCCACCCTCTACCACCTTCACTACCGCTGCCACCTTCTACCACTATCACTACCGCTGCCACCCTCTACCACCATCACTACCATCCTCTACCAACGAGAAACAAAGCCAGACTGACTCAGAATGCGTGGGATGCTTTGTGTGGGCGTGGGCAGGCAAGTTCGGTATGGTGGACCACTGTCATCTCGATGAAAACCGAGGTGATGAACGAAAACTGGGACAAAATTTTGACGAAAAAAGTCGTCAAAAACCGAATTCGACGCAAACCAGGGCAAACGAAAACCGAGGTTCCACTGTACATTAGTTACCTTTGATACTACTAACACGAATATTGACAAGTGACAATTTCTAAAAATGCTGAATTAATACATATCTGTGCTGTTATCTGATACTAATGTTTTTCATTTACCAAGAATGCAAGATCCAAGTGTTCAGAAGCAGTTAGCAGCAAGTTGGGAGGAGCAGCGTAGATCATCAAAGAAGCTTTTTTCATCCTATAATGGTTCCTCAAGCTCATTCGTCTCACCAGTGAAGCAGGAGTCAACATGCTCCTCAGCAACCAGCAATGGGTTGACCGAGGAGAGCAAAAGTTCTCCCACCAAAAGCAAGTGAGATTACTCTTCGTATTTTTTTTTTTTTTCCATTCCTGATGCTTCATTATTTTGTAAATGTTTTCTACATTTCAAGTATTCCTTTATCATGTTAATCCTGCTTGCTTCTCCCATTTGCCAAATAGACTTTTTTTTTTATCTCCGACGTGAGAGTTTAATTGCTATTTACTGCCTCCTTACCAATGCTCTTTTATGGGTGTGAAGCATGGGTGGTGAATGTTGCAACAAGGAGAAGGCTGGAGGCAGTGGAGATGTCACGTCAGAGTGCAGTATGTGGTGTGAATATAATGCAGAGAATCTGTAGTTTGGAAATAAGGAGGTGCGGGTTACTAAAAGTATTATCCAGAGAGCTGAGGAGGTTGTTGAAGTTGTTTGTACACTTGGAGAGGATGGAACAAAATAAAATGACTTGGAGAGCATATAAATCTGTAGTGGAAGGAACATAGGGTAGGGGTTGACCTAGGAAGGGTTGGAGGGAGGGGGTACAGAAGGTTTTGTGTGCGAGGGGCTGGACTTTCGGCAAGCATGCATGAGCATGTTAGATAGAAGTGAAGACAAGTGGTTTTTAGGACATGACGTGCTGTTGGAGTGTGAGCAAGGTAACACTTATGAAGGAATTCAGGGAAACCAGCAGGCCGGACTTGAGTCCAGGAGGTGGGAAGTATAGTGCCTGCACTCTGACGGAGGGGTGTTAACCCTTTGAGGGTCCGAGCCTTAGTTCTACACCTTGTCCACAGGGTCCAAGAATTTAAAAAAAAGTTTTGCTATTTTTTCTTATGAAATGGTAGAGTTTTTCTGAAGGTGATAAAACAAAAAGTATGAAATTTAATGGAAAATTCATGAAATTACACTTGCGAATTTTGCTGTGTCAGAGATATTTACACATCGGCAATTTTGTCCACTTGACTCCTCCTTTTAGCCAAGTCAACCAGATTCTTAGCTACTTCGCTAGTATTACTTCTATTTTATTGAAATAGAGAAACTGCCCAATCAACTGTTTCAACTGCCCAATAAAGTGATCAGAAATTGGTAATTTGGCCAATTTCACATAAAGTTCAAAATATTCCAATTTCAAAATAGGGTCCAGAATAAGCAATGCAGGTATTTCTGGCACTAAAATAACATTTCCTCTGTTTATTAGTTATGTTTCCAGGCTTTACGGAAGAATTCCATTTTGATTTTTTATTCACACCAAAAAAGAGAAGATCTGCTGTTATTTTTATTTATTATCACACTGGCCGATTCCCACCAAGGCAGGGTGGCCCGAAAAAGAAAAACTTTCACCATCATTCACTCCACTGTCTTGCCAGAAGGGTGCTTTACACTACAGTTTTTAAACTGCAACATTAACACCCCTCCTTCAGAGTGCAGGCACTGTACTTCCCATCTCCAGGACTCAAGTCCGGCCTGCCGGTTTCCCTGAACCCCTTCATAAATGTTACTTTGCTCACACTCCAACAGCACGTCAAGTATTAAAAACCATTTGTCTCCATTCACTCCTATCAAACACGCTCACGCATACCTGCTGGAAGTCCAAGCCCCTCGCACACAAAACCTCCTTTACCCCCTCTCTCCAACCTTTCCTAGGCCGACCCCTACCCCGCCTTCCTTCCACTACAGACTGATACACTCTTGAAGTCATTCTGTTTCGCTCCATTCTCTCTACATGTCCGAACCACCTCAACAACCCTTCCTCAGCCCTCTGGACAACAGTTTTGGTAATCCCACACCTCCTCCTAACTTCCAAACTACGAATTCTCTGCATTATATTCACACCACACATTGCCCTCAGACATGACATCTCCACTGCCTCCAGCCTTCTCCTCGCTGCAACATTCATCACCCATGCTTCACACCCATATAAGAGCGTTGGTAAAACTATACTCTCATACATTCCCCTCTTTGCCTCCAAGGACAAAGTTCTTTGTCTCCACAGACTCCTAAGTGCACCACTCACTCTTTTTCCCTCATCAATTCTATGATTCACCTCATCTTTCATAGACCCATCCGCTGACACGTCCACTCCCAAATATCTGAATACATTCACCTCCTCCATACTCTCTCCCTCCAATCTGATATTCAATCTTTCATCACCTAATCTTTTTGTTATCCTCATAACCTTACTCTTTCCTGTATTCACCTTTAATTTTCTTCTTTTGCACACCCTACCAAATTCATCCACCAATCTCTGCAACTTCTCTTCAGAATCTCCCAAGAGCACAGTGTCATCAGCAAAGAGCAGCTGTGACAACTCCCACTTTGTGTGTGATTCTTTATCTTTTAACTCCACGCCTCTTGTCAAGACCCTCGCATTTACTTCTCTTACAACCCCATCTATAAATATATTAAACAACTACGGTGACATCACACATGCTTGTCTAAGGCCTACTTTTACTGGGAAATAATTTCCCTCTTTCCTATGTACTCTAACTTGAGCCTCACTATCCTCGTAAAAACTCTTCACTGCTTTCAGTAACCTACCTCCTACACCATACACTTGCAACATCTGCCACATTGCCCCCCTATCCACCCTGTCATACGCCTTTTCCAAATCCATAAATGCCACAAAGACCTCTTTAACCTTATCTAAATACTGTTCACTTATATGTTTCACTGTAAACACCTGGTCCACACACCCCCTACGTTTCCTAAAGCCTCCTTGTTCATCTGCTATCCTATTCTCCGTCTTACTCTTAATTCTTTCAATAATAACTCTACCATACACTTTACCAGGTATACTCAGCAGACTTCTTTTTCTTTTCAACACACCGGTCGCAACCCACCGAGGCGGGGTGGCCCAAAAGGAAAAACGAAAGTTTCTCCTTTTACATTTAGTAATATATACAGGAGAAGAGGTTACTAGCCCCTTGCTCCCGGCATTTTAGTCGCCTCTTACAACACGCATGGCTTACGGAGGAAGAATTCTGTTCCACTTCCCCATGGAGGACTCAGCAGACTTATCCCCCTATAATTTTTGCACTCTCTTTTATCCCCTTTGCCTTTATACAAAGGAACTATGCATGCTCTCTGCCAATCCCTAGGTACCTTACCCTCTTCCATACATATACAATATGATGTTATGCATACAATATGCTGTTATGCATATTATAATAATTGTATGCATATTATGATCGCATTCGTGAACGTATATTAGACCCACCAGTTGATGTGTATTGGACTCTTGACATCATTTGTTTACTCTTGAACATCGGCAAAAATTGATCATTTCCACTATTTTGAGCTCCATTTCAAGCTATTTTCTTTGTTAAAACCAGTCAAAATCATCTCTATTTCTGTAATATATATTCCATTCTATCAAATGAGACCAAGAAACTGAGAATACAACTGCAAAAGTCTTACAAAAATACACAGCAAAGTCGCTGTTTAATTCAAAAACACGGTCAGTTTTTTTTTTTTCTCATTATGCACAGGATTTGTTTTATATGGTGCACACTTACCACATAGATCCATTCTTTCATATGTACGCCCAGCTTGAATCCTGTGGACAAGGCGTAGAACTACGGCTTGGACCCTCAGAGGGTTAATGTTGCAGTTTTATAATCATAGTGTGAATGCACCTCTGGCAAGACAGTGATGGAGTGAATTACGAAAGTTTTTTTCTTTTTCAGGCCACCATGCCTTGGTGGGAAAAGGCTGATGTGTTAATAAAATATAAATAATAAAAATTACTGCCTCCTGCTCTAAGATGGATTGTGCACGATCAGACATGTGTATCATCATGCCATTATTCTGACATTGTATGTACAGTGGTCCCTTGAGTTATGATTTACCCTCATAGAGGAATTTAGTTTTGAGTCGCAGTGAAAAATTACGACATACAACATGCATTTGATGGTATGATTCATGGGTCACATCCTGGGGAACAAGATTAACCTAAGCTGCCCTTAATTCTCTACATAACCAGGGGCTTTCTATATACAGTAGTATGCTAATGATGTCAACTAAGTCTGTAATAGTTGTATTATGTACTTTTAGAAATAAAGATTATTACTATTATGGTTGGTGCACGTGGGTAGGACTTGGCCAACCTGTGATGGGGTAGCTGGCCTCTTGGACAGTGTCTAAGCCAGTAGGAGTCTGGGGCTGTGAAGGTGGCTTAGCAGTCAATCAGCAGTGGAGTTGAATGTGTGTGTGGTAACATCTCAGCCAATAGCAGAGTTTGTACTATAGTTTGTTTACTCTTCAGTTTGAAGCCATTACAGGTGTTTTCTGCACTAACTCGTGATTATTTACCCTTTATAAGTACTTCTGCATTATAATTATGACGACTTAGTCATCATAACCCCTAAAGTGCACAGTAAATAGGCCATTCCTCTGAAGATCAAGGAAGAAATTAATGCATGAGTATGACTTTCCACAATCAACCATCTCTACTATTATCAAGCAAATAGAAATAATAAAGAATATTAAAATGGCTGATGAATCTAAGGTAAGGTAAAAAGATAGAAAATTATCACAGAGATGTAAAGACTGTTCTTAATGTAGATAGAGAGAAGCAGCTGAAGGGAGATACATTGTAACACCATCTAACTGTCATGAGTTGGTGCCTCAGTCTTATCCCCAAGTGCCTGTGTAGTACACATTGAACACCTCACAGCTGTCATTGGCAATAGTTCTTATGGTGCATTTTTGCTTATTTAGGACTTTTTGTGCAAGAACTAAAGGTGCTTCTCAAATTGACCCCTTAAAGGAGGGTTCTTGATTCAAGGAATTAGACTTTTCCTCCTCTTTCTAAGCTCGAACCTGATTGTCTCTCATTCTCCAGGTGCTGTAAAATTTTACCGCTATGCATTAAAAATAATAAATCCACACAAATTATGCCCAACATTAATACATCATTACTGACCAACAATTACATGTCATGGCTGGGAAATTCACCAGTTAGCCTCATACATATAGCCTGTGAACAGTTGACTTTCAAGAAAAGTTATGCACATAGGGACACAAGATAAATCCTTGTCCTTTGCTGCATTATGCATGGATAATGGAACACTTAATGCTGAGGACTGCAGTTAGGTATAAAATGCCCTAGAATCTGAGAGGGTGAAATCAATTAGTGATGCTGTACTGTACTGCAACCCTAAAGATGAAGGAAAGGGAGGAGAAGCTTTACATATTTTGCTAGCTGAGTATATATTTCTAGGCCATCATTACCAGCTGTTACAAAAATTTAAATTATTTTCTCATTGACCATGGATTTTCTTTGCCAGATGAATTGTCTGTATCTCCTGGCCAGAACTGATGTAGGTTAAGGGAATACAAGATTATAGTTGCTGTCATGCATTTTATTATGTAGCCTAAAACTTGAAGGGTGAACCTAATTAGCTTATTGCAGTAAGTGCCCCTAACTCTGATTATGATATCTACTTTGAGGTTGGTTTTGTGGCCTCTCCTGATCAGTCTCCAGTGTCTTGACAACAATTGTTGGCTCAGGTACAGAAACCCTGTGAAAATTTGAGTTGCCATATCACATTCTCTCTCCCTAGGTTACTGAGACAATAATTGTTCGATTTCTTGATGTACTGTACCTCATAGGGATCTGCCAAGTAGCTTATATTCTAGACTGAAGTATATGTGCTTTTTATCTTTCTTTGGGCCTTAAGGACATATCAAAGGAGGCTTATGGTGTCTATCCTGAAGGGAAGACACCAGTCACACCAGAGCCTGTGCCTGCAGCCATTTCCTCTTTCTCTCTTAATAATTTCTCCAATTGCTCTTTAATAATTAAGTTCCTCACCTGAAGTCAATTTGCTCTTTCTTTTGGCTGAGGCTGGGCTGTAGGAGTAGGAAAACCTGAAACCTTTCAAAGGTATGTCAGAGGTAACCTACCAGCAATCTTCCAACACTACTGTAATGAACAAAACTCCAAAGGATCTGAGATTAAGACACATGTGCAACATCTGGGTATCTTTATTGTAGACGTTTCGCCAGCCAGTGGCTCTATCAATACAAATTCTAGGACATAACTTGAAGACAGTAGAACTATGTACAGAAGATGAGGTAATCAGTCCCTCAACCTAGGAGTAGGTGCGAAACGTCTACAATAAAGATACCCAAATGTTGCACATGTGTCTTAATCTCATTTTGTCGGTATTGTATACCATTCGTATCCAAAGGATCTGTTGAAAATTCTTTTGTCCATGCTCCTTGCATAATAATTTATTGACTCTAATTTGGACACTGCTTTCATATGGTACATAAGGCCTAGTAATTATTTCAATAAGGGTATGATAAGGAAAAAATGCTAATATACAAATAAGTGAAATGACAATCAGTACCTAGTTTTTAATTAAAGGTTTATGAAAAATGGGGATGCAGGTGGACAGTAATGACAATTGTAGTGAATAGATAACAATAATGGACAATTCTGTACCTACTAGGCTTTGTCTGTTGTTCCCATATCAGTTGACCCAGCAGTTTGTTTCCAATATTTGCAATGTCTGTTAAATCTAGGGTTTATTGCATTTGTAATTTTCATGGATCTTCCTGAACTACCACCTTAAATTTATTTCTTTTGACTGTTGCAGGTAATGTAGTGAATAAGAAGTGTTGTGTACAGTGATGTGGAAATCTCTACGACTCAGGGTCATTCTGCTGCGCAAGGGCTGCACCTAAGTACAAAAGTGTGTAGATGGTGCCACTGAAGCACTGCAGGGGCCTACCATACCACTGCCAGTACAACATAGTGGCCCACGAGTTGCTGCCCATTTTTAATTATATAGTTTTACCAATTTTGATAAGTAATGATTGGTTTTATCAAATTTCTAGGTAGAAACAGTGCACGAGATTGTGAGGCAATTATATGGAAGAATCTTTAAATTTGTGGCACAGGTTTAGAGCCATATTGTTGAAGATGAGCTTGGGTTTCAAACTTGGGGGCCACCAATGTGACTACCATATGATGGCTTGTGATCATCACAGTTACTCATTTTCATGAATTATGTGGTTGTAATAATGGTTTCTAAGATCTGGTTTAAGTGTTGAAATCCCATATGCTATTATAAATTTTAATACAAGTTTCAGCAAATATGGGCAATTGCCAAGGTTACCCATATATTAATTGTAAGTGTTTAAATATCAAAATATCTTGATAATTTTTAGTTATTGCCCATACAGAATTACTGAGAATATTAAATTTTTATTAATAATTTATTATTTTTATACTATTATTTTTTGTCAACACTTAAGAGAATACTATTGGTTCTATGCTTTAGATTTATTTTATGTGAATATATATATATATAATTTTTTTAAGCAAGTTTAGAATCACATAGGCATACCCAGATTATCAGACATGGTTGGGTAATTAACATCTGTACTGTCTAGCTTAATACACATTGGACCAAACCCTTGGCATCTTAAGGCCACAGAAGTAACCTAAATATGGACATTGCATATATTTTGTTACAGGAATTTCTTATCCAGTGTTTTTGAGATCTTTAGGGTAAAGTGTCCTTTGAAGTCAGATATTATGCATTTTATGCATAAATATAAATTATCGATATTATTTATATAACCCATGTAGGTGGTTTATAACTTAATTCGCTGTTTAGGGCTTATTCTGGAGATGCTTTCAACCCAGTCAAAATGTTAAAAAATCTGTTTGTGCTCAAAGCTGTGTGTGCATGGATTTGCAAGTTAAAATAGTGTGAATATCATTGATATAAATGTGGTATGAATTTTCAACACCAGTGTATTTATATTGCGAGAGTATCGGTGCATCTTCTGAATATGTCCTTCCTCTTCCTCCCTTCCAGCAAATGAATTACCACATGGTATCAGTCATAACATGACTTCCAGTATCATGGTCAGCAGTCTTGATTGCAGTTTTGTGTGTGTATGTTATTTCATGACTTTTTTTTTCCAGTCAGTATGTATAATAAAGATCAAAATTACATTTACCAGTCAATATGGATAGTGAAGATTAAATGCTGACATCTGTGATGTCACCTTTCATATGGTTAAAAAATAATGGTTGATTTTTCCCTAGAGATTTACTTTTTGGTTGGGATATATTTTAGTATAATTGAGCAAATTACAGGTAATTTTTAATTTCAGTAGGGATTTTTTTTTAAAGGAAACATGTCTTACCTTCCAGTACTGGTGACTATTTACAATAAAAGGATTTGATATTGAATAATTACATAGTCTTTTATTGTAATTAATTATTTTGCACTGCAGATGTACATAATGCCAATGGATTGTATTCAATACTAATGTATGCTTTTTCATTATTTGGAAATCACTGTTGATCTGAAAATGACCTAATAAGATGGGCAAGCTTTGATATCTGGCCTATTATAGGGAACATAAAATAATGGTAAAATATAAATATCAGTCATGCACTCTTTAAATGAGTCTGATTAATACAGCAGCTCGTGGTAACCTCTAAAGGTTCTAGCTAGTCTAGTAATCTTCCTTCCTATACCTAACCTTCCTTTTCCCCCTACATGACAGCCAAGAACATTCAAAACTGCATAAAAAATATTATAAACAAATATTTTGATATTGACAGGAATAAGATATACTGTACTTAAATAAATATTTATATTTCCAAAACATATATTTATTATTCAATATAAATTAATTCTTCACCATATACCTCAGAGGAAGCTTCTTGATGACGGTGAATGGCTCTTCGTCAGAGGAATTGGACTTGTCCTCTTCCTTGGAACAAATCTGTGCTTCTGTTTATATCCATGTGGCATTTTGTGCAGTATGCTCATCTTAAATTGGTGTTTTAAGTGTATTATGTAGCCTGCATCAAATGTATGCATTTATAGTAAAAATATCAAGAAGGGAGGGGGTAAAGGAAGTTTTGTGGGTGAGGGGCTTGGAATTCCAGCAAGCATGTGTGAACTTGTTAGATAGGAGTGAATGGGGACAAATGATTTTTGGGACCTGACAAGCTGTTGGAGTTTGAGCAGGGTAATATTTTGCGAAGGGATTTAGGGAAACCAGTTAGCTGGACTTAAGCCCTGGAAATGGGAAGTACAGTGCCTGCACCTTCAAGGAGGGGTTTGGGATATTGACAGTTTGGGGGGACTTCTAAACCGTCGTATCCGAGTGCCTCTGCAAAGACAGTGATTATGTACGAGTGAGGTGAAAGTGTTGAATGATTAAAGTATTTTCTTTTTGGGGATTTTCTTTCTTTTTGGGTCACCCTGCCTCAGTGGGAGATGGCCGACTTGTTGAAAAAAAAAAAATTATTCTACAATATGAGAGATGAGGAAAGCCACACGAGTCTTGAAACAAAGTCAATGCCTAGATCACCACTGCTGCCTGGGCAAGGTAAGTGGAACGATTTTTATACACGTGTAACACTTTTCATTAAAATTTGGCACTGTATACAGTAGTACAGTGAAACCTCAATTTAATGAATTTTGGATTTAACAGACAAAGCTTGTTATTAAGATAGTCTGGAAGCAGCAGACAAAGTCTGTCACTTCCAGAATTGTCCATTTTTGTTGTGGTATTCTAATTTTAACCCTTTGAGGGTTGGTCCCATAGTATTACAGCTTTGAAGCCTGGGTCGGTTCCATAGTTCTATACCATGAGCTCAGATAAACTGCGAGTGATAAATTTGGGCCTAGATATGAGAGATTAGGTCCATATGGTAAGGGTGCACCATATAAAAAAATTACTGCAGCAAGCAGTGCATAATGGGAAGAAAAACTGTAACCGCGTTTATGGTTTAAAACAGTTTTGCGTTTTTCTGTACGATTTTTATTGTATTTTTGGTTTCTTGGTCTCGTATGATAGAATGAAAAATACATAACAGAAACAGAGGTGATTTTGATTGGTTTCAGGGCTGAAAGTGGCTTCAAACTGAGCGCAAAGTAGCAGAAATATTTGATTTTTGCCGATACATATTCCAGAGTACACAAATTACGTAACTTGTCAAATACATGTCCAACTCGTCTAATTTGTGTCCACATTATTATAATAAAACAAAGTGCTAAACCTACTAGGGTCATACAGCATGTGTGTCCACAGATGCACCGACATTTATACAATTTTTACAATAATGCAATCTGCATAAGTAAATCTTTGATTTTTTGTGAATAAAAATTCAAAATGGAAAGCAAGCATAATATAGGAGAGGCCTGAGAATGTAACTAAATGAAGAGAGGAAATATTTTAGTGCCAGGAATGTCTACATTGTTTATTGTGAACCCTATTTTGAAATTGGCAATTTTTTAATTTTGTGTGAAATTGGCCAAATTACTAATTTCTGATCAAGTTATTGGGTACTTGAATTAAGTAAATGGGGAGTTTCTTGTACTCAATCAGTAGAATAGAAGGAATACTAGCAAAATAGCCATGAGTTTGGATTCCTGGAACGATAGAATTGGCCGAAAATAAGGCTCAGAGTGGGTGAAATCACCGATGTTTAAATACTGCCATGACTTCAACTTGACAAGAGCGTAATTCCTTAAGTTTTCCATCAATTTTCATACCTTTGGTTTCATTATCTTTGGAAAAAGATTCTCTTATTTCATAATTTTTTTTTTTTTATTTTAAATCTTCTGACCTCGAGGAAGTTTCAAGATCAGGGGTTCTGACTCTTAAAGGGTTAATGGACACTTGGCATTATAGGATGCCCTTTCTCTCCTATTAATCCATTAAATTGGGGTTTTGCTATAGTGTAATTTTTCTTTTTTAATAAATTTATATTTTTGCTAAGAATTTTTTATATGGGTAATACAGTACATTGTGCATTTTTCTAAAGCTGTTCAAATTTATTTAGTTTATTTTTTAAGGGTGTTGCCTAATCAAATACTTTTATCATTGGAATATGATCTATTGCTGTAGGTATAGGTTTTTATTTGCCTAGTACAGTACAGAGTGAATTTTTATTCCATAGATACAGTAATAGGTTAGTAGACAGCTCCTACCCAGAGGTACAACCATCCTGTCTTACAAGTGTGTAACAGAAAACTTTTAAATGTTTTACACTGGTAGGATTACTGATCTTTTCTTTGTCTTATGAACATACAAGATCACAGGAAAATTGAGCAAATACTACTTACATCTATTATACATTTCATGCATGCAAATGTATTTGTATGTTCATACATGCCTCTGTTGAGTTTTCTGCTGAATTTCTGTATTTCCTTGAATTACCTTGGGAAGTGAACTAGAATCTTTACTTCATGATAAATGCATGTTGTAGAAGGAAATGCAAATATTGGGAACAGAGTATACATTTTCAATGTTTACCCTACTTTTGGAGAATTGCAGTTGATCTGCAGCAAGAACAGTGGTGTTAAAAGTTGCAATAACTCCCTGAAGAGGGTGCAGCAGGAGGAACATTAGGAAAAGAGGTCTGGCATGAAAGAAACACCCAATATTCCCATTCAAGCTGTCAATGGGAGTGACGAAGGAGATGTGTATAAAAATGAGAAGTAATGAGAAAAAGGAAATAATTTGTAATCATTAAGATCAGGTACAAGAGAACAAAGTTCAGCTCTGTAGATAATTAAGAGAGATCTACATATACGGGAAAAAGTATGAGTACAAGACTTTCATGTGTAGGGGTGCCTGTGTTTAACCCTTTCAGTGTTGGTCCTGTAACATTATGGCTTGAGGGTCAGCGTCGGTCCCGTAATACTACGCCAAAATTCTAGCTCCTTCATTTCTGGTGGAAGAAACCTGGTAGGCCTACATATAAAAGAATGGGTCTGCGGGTCATGTGCGTATAAAAAGAATCCTGCAGCATCATTATATGGGAAAAAAAAAAAAAACTTTTTGAACATCAATGTATACAATACTACAGTGTAGTAAGACACATAGCAACAGTAAGGCAACTTTACTTCCGAGAAGTTTCGCCTACTACGTAGGCATATTTAGTCGATACAGAAAGTGGAAGAACCGTAGATGGAATGAATTAAAATGGGTCTGCGTGTCAGGTGCAAGATATAAAAAAAATCCTGCAGCATGCAGTGTATAATGAGAAAAAAAAAAAAAAAAAAAAAAAAAAAAAAGGTTTTTTTTTTTTTTTGAACATCAAAATGGTATACAATACTGACAGGTTGGTAGGTAAGACACATAGGCAACAGTTAGGCAACTTTATTCCGAAAAGTTTCGCCTACACAGTAGGCTTCTTTAGTCGAATACAGAAAGTAGGTAGGAACAGTAGATGTGAAGATGATGTAATCAGTCCATCACCCTTGAAGTCGTAGAATTTGAGGTTGTCAGCCCCTCAGCCTGGAGAAGTTCAGTTCAGAAGTTCAGCCGGACTTGAGTACTGGAAATAGGAAGTACAATGCCTGCACTTTAAAGGAGGGGTTTGGGATATTGGCAGTTTGGAGGAATATGTTGTGTATCTTTATATGTATATGCTTCTAAACTGTTGTGTTCTGGGCACCTCTTCAAAAACAGTTATTATGTATGAGTGAGGTGAAAGTGTTGAATGATGATGAAAGTATTTTCTTTTTGGGGATTTTCTTTCTTTTTGGGTCACCTGCCTCGGTGGGAAACGACCAACTTGTTAAAAAAAAAAAAAATCCGAGGACAAGAAAGCTCCCCCCCCATCTGTTTTATAGGTTTTTAATACATCTGATTTACTTATTGGGACACAGTAAACCAAACTTCATCTATTTAGTCCTTGTTACATTTTAGTACGTATCGGCTGCTGCGTTTATCGACCAAATCATATGTAGGCTGGTTTTTGGGCCGAAATTTTGCTCCATATTTCGGCTGGTGCCTCGCAAATAAGTCGTATTATACGCGTCAGCCCACTGGGACACCACTGAGTAGGTGAGTCAGTCTCCTGTGTGTCTTGGTGAATGAGCATATACTCCATGCATTTATCCAAACATTTCATTAAAATCCATTGGTTTTTGGTGGTTGTTTATTCAGTGCAACTGTGAAATAAGCCACCATGGGCCCAAAGAAAGTTCCTTGTAAAGTTCCTTGGTAAAGAAAGTGAGAAACACAATGGAATTTAAGAAAGAAGTTATTGAAAAATATGAGTGTTGTTCGAGTACTAGAACTTGCCAGGATGTATGGGAAATTCAAATCAACAATCACTTCCATCCTGGCAAAGGAAGTAGAAATCAAGGGAGCTAATGTTGCGAAAGGGAATGTAGCAGGCAGGGAGATAAGTAACCACAGAGAGGGCTTTGATACCTTAAATCC